AAGGACAAGTGCATGGTCCTTAGTGTTTCTTTTTTTTTTCTTTGGGGGGGGGGGGGGGGGTGGAGTTCACGGTGTTCATGGGGTGGAAGAAGAAACACGTTGTGAATGCTTTTGTTTTGCTGTGGGGGGTAATTAATGTAAGACTTGGTAGCTCAGTGGTACCCTCTTCCCTTTTTTGGTTCCAGGCTCCCTTATACAATAGCCAACAAGATGGTTACTGAACTGCCAAGAAGAGGGACGGGGTCAGCTGCATCGCAAGGTTCTGGAAGTTCACAGGCACAACGCCGACAAGTTGGAAACACCAATTTGGGTAGTCGAGCCATGTGTCTTTTTTGTAGACAGCATATACACACACAAAAAGACAACAAAACAAACATCCCGGAGGTCGAAGCCCCACAATGATCCCCAAGAAGCTAAACCCAAGGCCTAAAAGCTTGGGATGTTCCCCCGTTATACGAACAGCTCCTGAAATCGGATTGAAGGGGATGGGGGGGGGCGGGGGGATTGGGGGGCGGGGGGGTCGGGGGGTACTAGAATTCCTATGAAGGAGCTGTTAATGGAAGGGGGAACATCCCAACCTAAAGCTTGTGACCCCAAAGTTGGCCCAACTGCAAGCTCCAGCACCCTAAACCCTAGACCCTAAACTCTAAACACTAAACCCCAAAGGCTACAAATGTTTCTGGAACACCGGCGTGTGGCCGCCGGCGTGTGACGTGGACATGTCCCTTTGCTGTTCAAGAGGGTTTTACTAGGGTTTTTGTTGGGTTTTACTAGGGTTTTTGTTGGGTTTTTTCTAAAGTTTTTTTGTAGAGTAATCCTGTACTTCAAGAAAGAGATGCATGAGCACCACCAAAAGCTAAAGCACAGTTGCCTAGTTGACATCGGAATGGGCCACCATGTTAGGCAACAAGGCCCCGTGCATTTTCTCGCACATGACAAGAATGCGAAGGCTTAGAGTTGGGGTTCAGGACCTGATGTCCTGCTTGCAAGTCGTTGCAAGCACGTAAGCCGACAGGGTCATGCAGAGTTGCGGTTCTTTGGGCATGAGAACATCTTCAACTTCGTGCATTGAGGCTGGTGCGTGAAGCCCAGAAGAATGTCGCTGTTGTTTGTTGTGTCGGCAAGAACAAACAGCAACGATTTTATCGGATGGCCCCTGTATACCTCAAGTGCCGCAGTTTGCAGAATTTGTGCACAGAGGGCCGGTAGGCGCTAGGGCGTGTGGTGGATCACTACGACATTCAGACACGTCACAGAACACCTTCTCTTCTTTTCCATGCGTTCGTCGTTCTTGCGCTGCATGACCCAGAATTGCAGCTGTCGGTTGACAAGTTCGTGGCTGCCCAAGCATGAGCTGGTGCATGTTCGCAGAAAGGTTACCTGTACCGTCAACCCTAAACACTAAGCCCGAAGCCCAAACCCTATACTCCCTAAACCCTAAACCCTAAACCCTAAACACTACAAAGCCCAAAGCCTCCATCCCTCACCAAGGGCAACTGACGAGCGAGGCATGATCTGCTCGTCTGAGACCCAATTGAGGGGTGACGGGACGGGTGTAGGATTCAGGGTTTAGGGTTCAGGGCTTAGGGCTTAGGGTTTAGGGTTTAGGGTTTAGGGTTTAGGATTTAGGGTTTAGGAGAACGGTCAGCTGGGGCTGAGCAATGGGTTTAGGATTTGGTGGGGTTGTAGCGCTAGCAGGTTTTGTGCTTTGCCACCCCCAAACAATTAAAAGAAAAACATATGTTTTGAGCGACCGTCAAAATTTGCGTTGACCAGCCTTAGCAAGGGACGGACATCAGTTTATGGTTTGGTGGCTTTTGATCTGCAGAACGGTATGGGTCACGCAGAAAACGATAACCCCAACATGATGATAAACATGACTTAGTATGAAATTAGCCGAGGAGCGTTGCTTTAACCTGCAGAACGATATGGGACACGCAGAAAACGATAACCCCAACATCCATGTCCTTCAGCTTAACAAGTAACATTGACCGCTGCTCATATATGTATATACATATATCAAGAATAACATATGAACAAAACAAAAAATGAAAATATGACATACACACGCAAATGACAGTCGTTGTTTTTTCCCTTATTTCGGGCTGGGGGTGGTCAAGGAACTTTGTAGCGCGAAGCTCTGGGGTAGTGTAGGACTCCAGAACACCTTTGTCACCAAAGCCCGCGCAAGGCATCCCCAACCCACCCTTAAAATCAACTTGGGATGTTCCCCCTTATACCAAGAGTCATTGATGGGAATTTATAGTACCCCCTATCATAGTCCCTATGAAGGACTATTACTTAGTATAAGGGGGAACATCCCAACCCTAAACCCTAAACCCTAAACCCTAAACCCTAAACCTTCAACCCTCAACCCTCAACCCTAAGCCCTAAACCCTAAACAAGCTACAACTGAGCCCTGAAGCCCAAAGCCCTGCCTCAGAGCTTTAACCTCTCTGAAAGCCAACCCCGCCAACCCGTAAAAACCCCAAAGCCCTAAAGAACCCTAGGGTTTAGGGTTCAGGGTTCAGGGTTTAGGGTTAGGGGTTTAGGGTTTAGGGTTTAGGGTTTAGGTTCAGGGCTCAGGGTTTAGGGTTAAGGGTTTAGCGTTTAAACCCTCAAACCCTATGTCTAACCCCAAACCCTCCAGACTCTCAGATTCCACTGCAGGTCCAACTCCTGCGGCGGTTCCCCTTCACAGTGCTGGTAACCAATTGGGGCGATCAGGTCCGTGGTTTTGGATTTCGGGTTTCGGGTTTGGGGTTTATGGTTTCATTAGGGTTTCAGGTTTGTGCTTTGGGGTTGTTTCGTGTTTAAGGCTTTTGAGCGTCCTTTTCATAACGTCTTCATTTTGGTTGCGGACTTCTCGCATGCCTTGGGGCGGCTTTAGATTGTAGATGAACCTACATTCTGCGGGCGTGTAGGCCCACCCAACATGTTAAGACCACTTCGGGGGCATTCCAAGAGCACCCCAACTGCATCCCAAGAGCACACCAAGACGAGACCAAGACTATTGGAGGATGAGGATTTCCCTACTACCTACCCCCCCCCCCCCCCCCCCAAGGGTTCCCATCCTTAGTTAGGCTGAATTATCCCTGAATAGCCGTAATTTGAGGGGGAGCCTAGGGGGGGCGGGTAGGAGAGTGGGGGGCAGTATGCCGAACCCATGGCCTTTAGCACGAAGCACCTCGGCAGGTGGCCCCTGAGTTTCACTCAAGCTCCCTCTCGACATTCTTCGGTGAGCGGCTGTAGCTCCAACACTGGAAACCGAACCGTATGGGCAATGCACGGCGCTCCACGAAGAAAATGGGTGGATTTGGGGTTGGTTTGGGTGGTAAGGGCCCCAAACCCCCGAAGCCCCAGAGACTCTTTGCGTCTGGGTCTGAGGGTCCAGCCGCTTGCATGAGCATGGTCTTAAGGTTTGCATACGGTCTCCTTAGGCTTCTTATGGGGTCAGGGTCCAGAAATACCGTCAAGGTGTAATGAGCTGTCTTCGAGTGTTGAATCTGAAGGGTTCCTTTACCGCTTGTAGGGTTTTGAGGGTTCTGCGACGCTTTAGGGTGTGGACTGAGGGTTTTGAGATCGGGTTTAGGGTTCCTTTGGGAAGCCTTGATTCTCCAGGCTTTGGCATTGCCACAGGAGGGGGGCTTAGGGTTTAGGGTCACGGCAGTGGTACTGTAACCTTGTGCTCTGCCGGCCTGTTCCCCGTGGCTTACAAGGCTTTCCAAGATCAGGGAGTCATGGCACAGGAGCTGGGGGTGACATCCGAGAACAACAAGAGTTTGGAGTGCTTGGGCCTTTCGAGCTTTCGACTTGATTCCGAAACTTCATGGGCAGTAACTCGTTACCCTAAACCCTCAACCCTAAACACTAAACCCTAAACCCTGAACCCTAAACCCGATAATTAAGCCTGAACCCTGAAGCCTAAAGGTATCTTAGGTGCCAGGCGTTTCTCCGATCGTGTGTGTCTCAGAAGTGGCCATGCCGAAGTTCTACAAGGCCGTGGCAGCCCGGGCCTCAGTAGGCAGACCAGGCAGAGGGTGGCACCCCCTTTTTTGCTCTCTTTGGGGGGTTTAGGGTTTAGGGTTTAGGGTTATTAGTTATTAGGGTTTAGGGTTTAGGGTTTAGGGTTATTGGTTATTAGGGTTTAGGGTTTAGGGATACCTGGAGGTCAATGGTCACTTGTAAGTAGGGTTTCAAGCGCCTCATCTAAGGGAAACCCTAAACCCTAAAAACTCCCTCAAGCCTTCTAGGGTGTAGGGCCTGTGTTAGCCTTGTGGGTACAGGTATGTCAGGTCCTTGGGGTTCAGTTTTTGGGGTTGAATCCTCCAACACAAAATGATGTCGGTTTCAAGCTCCGCCGTGGTTTAGGGCCTCAGCGTTTTGGGGTTGACCCCCACCCCAAATCAAACCCTAAACCTCAAGTTGCAAGTCTCCACGACATGGGGCGCCTCAGAGCATGATGGGGTCTTGCCTGTCTTTCATCGCAAGCCCTCTCTGTCGTGTGGTTTCTTAGAATGTGGGGGCCCGTAAGCCATATAGCATTTTGCATAAAGGGGCTTCTTGGCTTTAACATGCTTAAAGATTTTAAGACCTCACGGTCCTCACGACATCTGCTTCCAACGATGAGCCGTCGGCCACATGCTCCTGTGACTGCAGTGGGCTGGCTTGGGAAAAGCTGCTGCCTGGTCCCTAGATCGAAGCGTCCGAGCCTTCAAAGAATCGTGTAGGGTAGGGTTAACTCAGCGAACCCTAAGCCCTGAACTCCAAACCCGAAACCCTAAACCCTAATCCCAACTCAAGTCAGGGTTCTTAGGGTCCTTTGTTTGGCTTTTGAAGGTGAAAAGAATGCTACGACTTCCCGGTGGACCATGATTCATCACCCTTTCACCATCCCTGAACCGTAGCGTTTTTGGGCTTAGGGGGGTTTAGGGTTTAGGGTTTTGGGTTTCGGGTTTAGGGTTTAAAGAGCTTGAACCGGCCAGCGGGCGCTGCCTGCCATGGACATGGAGGCTGCGCGTGCTGCTACCCCAGCATCGCGGCCCGCGCAGCTGTGCGCGGCTGTGAAGGCCTGCGGAGACAAGTGGGCTGCAGCACTGCATCTTCGGTGCGAAGGTGGCCTTGTACCGGTTTCTTGTGCGTTAGCAAACCCCCCACACACAAAGAACCCACTGTTCATCCCAAACCCAAAAGCCCTAGACCACACAAATCAAACACTCAAGGCAAACTTATTTTCTGGAAACATCCGCCAGCAAGGCATTTGGTGGCAGTGCACGATTTCCCCGAAGCTCGGATGGCCTTTGGGACACTGCACATGTTTGCCTCTTTCTTTTGGATGAGCGAATTCCAGGGAAAACAATGATTCATAAAAAGGGAACCCTGCGCCCTAAGCCCTGGAGCCCTGGAGGTTGCACCCAACAAAACCCTCAATCCCCCTAAAACCTACCAACCCCTAAACCCTCAACCCTAAACCCTAAACTCCCTAAACCCTACAAGGAGTCGGATGGGATGGAGTTCGCCTACACGGCAGGAATTACAAGCATGGGCCAGGGCCGTCGATGGCGCTACGCTGTGCAACTGCTCTCCCACGCCGAGGTGGAGTCGTCTCGAACTTAAGGGTTTGTTAGAGGTCCTAGGATGCCCAATAGATGCCCTTTTGAATACTAGGCCACATGTGAAAAGCCTTTTTGACAGCAGGAAGCCTCATAACCAGCTATGAACCCATCATAAATTTGCCCCCAAATACTAAACCCTAAACCTGAAACCTAAGCCCTCAACCCTAACTCGACAGAAACCCCTCATCAGGCGAAGCGGACGCAAGCCCATGCGCTAATGCCAAGCTCGACCATCAGCGCCAGCGCGAGGAGCAAGATGTGTTTCGGGTGGCACAAAGAGAAGCCTGACACTTGGGATGTTCCCCCTGATACTAACAGTCCTTGAGAGGGATTATACTCGGGCGGGGTACTATAATCCTGATTACGGACTGTTAGTACAAGGGGGAACATCCCAACCTGAAGCGGACATATTGGGGGGGGGGGGGGGGGGGGGTTCTGAAAAGAAGGGTTCCCTTCTTGGGGTTCCTTCATAAGGACTTTAAAGTATTTGATTCATGGTCATTTCTTCGTGGTTACTATTCTAAGGCGGCCCCTAATACTGACCATGTAGGATTCATTGAAGTCGCGTACCTGATCCCTAGGTGTATGTATATATGTATATATGTAGATTGTAACTGGGTATGCTATATACAGTGCGTGTGTGTGTGTGTGTGTGTCTAAATGCACCACCTGTGTGTATACACATACATACATACATACATACATACATACATACATACATACATACATACATACATATACGCATGCACGTGCATATGCACACAAATACCACATGCTGTACATACAATATACGTATTCTGTTCATAATATCATCTGCCATGTGTATACATTCTCTATATGCTCTACATATTCCCTGCATGGCTTCCTTTCTTTCCAAGGTGGAGAGTCGGGCTGGCAGTGCTGGAGAGCATGTCGCAGCGGTCCTTGCAACTTGGGGGATTTCAAGGTTTGAGGCTTGGGGGTTTAGGGTTTGAGGCTTCGGGGTTTAGGGTTTAGGGTTGTACTCATCCCTCTGCAAAACTGCTCAAGACCCGAGGCAGTTCACTTCAGGAAGCCACAACGGGGCTCTCAGTGGTTGCGCGAAGAGCCAGGAGTGGCAGAAGCTAGGCTGTTCAGGAGTATATTGTTTGTCATTTTTGTTGGGTTCTGGGTTCCTTCTATTAGGCAAGTAGCACAGTAGCACGGAAAATATGCACCTTCTTTTCCTGGGCCGCTGACCGCCTAAGGAAGGCTTTGTGCTTGCACTCCTCATCGATGGGGCCTGACATCATCTCGTACAACTCCACCATGGATGCGTGCGCCAAGGGGGCACAATGGCAGCCCACTCTGGGAATCTTGCTCCCTGGATTTCTGATGCGGGGTTCCCTCATTTAGAGCATCGGCGGCCTTGCTCAACCTGCTGCCTCAAGAAACGCGAGGAACCAGTATCTTCAGCTCCCCAACACGCTAAAGGGCTCCCCAAAGTTACCTTAAAGACCTCAAAGGCATCCTGTGCCCTTAAAAGGCTACAGCTTCAGCTCCAGTGCCTGAGAGCCGACGTCTCCTCCTGCAGCTCTGTCCTGGGAGCCTTCGGCAAGGCGGACGCTTGGTGGGCAGCAGGGGGTCTCTTCCCTGAGCTTGTGGAGGTTATACGATTTTGTTGGTGCTGGTTTTGAGAAATCTCTCAGTATGTGTGTATGTGTATGTACAAAAACATATACATACCCATATGGTAGGTTCATATACATATAGATGGATGTATGGATAGGTAGATAGATACAGAGAGTAAGATTTAGATAAGCAAACCGGTACATACACCAGTAGCATGGACCAAGAAAACAAAATAGGAACTGCCGCAATACATAGATGAGATGCAGTCATAGCAAACGAAAAGGAACCGAGCCATGCGCGAGTCATGCGTAGGTGCATCAATAAGGGCATCGCTGAGGACAGAATTTAGGACATATCAAAGCAATGGAACAGCGAGGCGCTTAAGCACTGTCTCTCACACACAACAAGCAACAACATAAACACGCAACGGCAGATTAACCCTAAACCCTAAGCCCGAAACCCTAAAACATTACCCCAAACCCTAAGCCCGAAACCCTAAGCCCTGAACGGGAAGCCGAAGAGGCTGGTCCATCCTGGATAGTTTGGACTCTTGTGTTTGCTGTGTTTAGGGTTTAGGGTCTAGGGTGCTCTGCTGGTCAGCCCTCAGAATCCACTAGGCAGGAGTTTAGGGTATGTAAACATCGAAGGGCCTTTACTCAGGAGCACGTTAAATCAAAAAGGATCACCTTTGGGAATATGTCTTTTCAAACAGGACCAGATTTAGGAATCTTGTCCGAGGGGTCTAGAGTCTAATTAGAGGTGCCAAGCTAGTCTCCGAAAGTTTATAACCCCCCCAAGCCCTCAAACTGGAACCCAGGGTAGAGCCAAGGACCAGTGGCAAGCAGCGTTGGACCTGTTTCTCAGGTGCTGATTGGTCGGCCTTGGGGTTCAGGGTTTCAGGTTCGGGTTTCGGGTTTGGGGTTTCTTGACCTTTCGACAAACCCAACGGTTGACCTTAGGCCTTCTTCCCCTAGAAAACTCAGCCCGGATTTGGCCTACAAATTCCCAAGTAGCCGAGGTTGAGCCCTCAATTCGAAGCCCCCCCTAGATCGTAAACCAACAGAACCACGGCGTTCCCTTCAAACCTAAACCCTAAAGCCCAAAACAGACCCCAAGTAAGCAAGAATTCTAAACCTTAAACCGGCTAAGGCCTAAACCCGAAACCCTAAAGTGGACCCTTGTTTCCCAGGGTAGTGGGCTCAGATTCCCACAAACCCCAGTAAACAAAACAAGGAAGCACCCTTTGTTTAGGGTTGCTCAGGGACGAAGTCCTAAATTCCTATAAAACTTGTAACCCTGAACCTTAAAACCTGAAGCCCTAAGCCCGAAATAGCCCGAACTCTGAACCCGAAACCTTAAACCCTAAAGCCTGAACCCTACGCCCCCAAAGTACCCTGAACCATGAACCGCCGAGGTTTAGAGCAAGCAGAGAGGGGCGACTGGATGCGGACTTGATGGCCTTCAGTGCTGCTATCGGGGCCTGTGGCTTGACTTCACCACTCTTTGCTTAAGAACTCCCCAAAAAATAGAAGATAGTAATCCCTATATTGCCCTGATAAGGAAGATAAAAGTTTTGGGGTTCTTAAGCAAATAGTAGTTCAGGGTTTCGGGTTAAGGGCTCAGGGCTTGTGGGTTAGGAAGCCTACCTAAACCCTGAGTTTGGGGTTTAGGGGCTGCAGGGCTTGGCCTTAGGAGACCACCTCATAGCTTCCGTAGGGGAAAAAGGGTTCGGGGCTTGTAGGGTTGGCGGATTAGGGCTCAAGGTTCAGGATAAAGCACCAAGCCCCACGCTGAAAGCCTGTTTGGTACGTAAAGGTTCTCTGGGGGCTTGATGGGGTTTTCAGCTTTTAAAGCCACAAACCCACAACGATGAGCTTCAAGCCTTTGCAAGCTCTAAACCCTGAACCTTTCTTTCAATTTTTTCGCTGAGGCTTGATTGATGGGATGTGAAGCTTGCAACAGGTAGTGCAATCGAGGGTTGCTGGTTTAAGGCTTGGACGGTTCCTTATGTGGTGCTCAGGATTTTGCGGAGCACGTAGCCCTAAACCCCAAACACCCTACACCCCCCCTAGCCCCCCCGAGGCACCCCCCCGATCGACCCCCTTTAGACAACCCCTCAATGTTACACCTTTACGTGGCAGATTGAGGGTGCTGTCAAACGAATCCTAAGGGCCTACAGCCCTATGTGGGGACCTTCCGTTGGCAGGGTGTCGGGTTTCCGGACTGTTTAGGGATGAGGCTCGAGGATTTGTTTAGGGTTCAGCGGGTTTCGGGTTTAGGGCTACACCCAAAGGCCAGCCCAAACCTCCGCAATCATGGGAGCCCCAAGGCAAGAATGGCGGTCACTGGGTGCTGGCGCTGGCCCTGCTCCGGGATCTCCAGCGTCACTCGGGCAGCAGCGAGTTTTTCGCGGATCCAAAGTGGTTGAGGGTTTAGGGAATTGGGGGGTTTGGGGATAACAGTGTTGTCTGGCAAAGCTCGTGAGTAGCTTGATGTTTGTTTTTTGCCTACCTTGCTCGAGAACCAAGGAGTTCAGTGGAAGTCAGTTTCGACGGCTAACCCCTAAGCCCTATACCTTAAAGGCCTAAACCCTAAATCCTGTAAACCCTGTAAGCCTTTAAAGGCCTAAACCCAAAACCACAAACCCTAGACCCTAAACCCTTAACCCTAAACCGCAGCTGAGCTTGTGGGCCAGACTGAGGCCAGCGACTTGTTGCAGATTCCACGGCCTACAGCTCCTGACCCTGAGGGCAGGGTATATCGCGATTTTGGGTGTTTGGGTTTAGGGGTGAAGGTGTTCTCGGGGTTTTGCACTTTTGATTTGGAGGCGTTAGGGTTTTAGGGTCTAGGGTGAGATGCTTCAGGGCCTGAAGCTCCGGGTTGGGTCTGGGACTCTAGGTTTAGAGGTTGGGGTTTGGGGCTGTCCTGGAAAAATCTTTGGCATATAGGTCGTCATGCCCAACAAACACCTAAACCCGAAGTACCCAGAAAATGAATCCTGAAACGGTTTGGGATTTATGGTTTAGTGTTTGCCGATGCACCCGGAATACCCTGAACCATAATCCGCTAAGCCCTCTTGAGTTCACTGGCGTCTGTCTCAGTTCCGCGCGGGGCGAGTCGGAGTGTCTGCGTCGTGTCAGAGGTCTTTCCGTGTTCACCTCTAGGTAGGCCCTTGGGACATGCTATACTCTCCCTTGTCAGCACATCAGATTGTTTTAAGGGCCATCCTAGACCTGAATGGCTTGGAGCTTTTAGGGTTTATAAGGGTCTGGGGACAGGCGTCTTTCAAACCTGCAACCCTCAAATCTGATGGCTCTTAAACCTATAATCCCCCAACCTAAGCTCCTAAACCCAGGCTAAACCCTAAACCCGAAACCCTAAAGCCTAAAGCCTAAAGCCGAAAGCCTAAAGCCTAAAGCCTTAAGCCTTAAGCATAAGCCTAAAGCCTAAAGCCTAAAGCCGAAAGCCTAAAGCCTAAAGCCTAAAGCCTAAAGCCTAAACCCTAAAGCCTAAAGCCTAAAGCCTAAAGCCTTAAGCCTTAAGCCTTAAGCCTAAAGCCTAAAGCCTAAAGCCTAACGCCTGACGCCTGAAGCCTGAAGCCTGAAGCCTGAAGCCTAAAGCCGAAAGCCTAAAGCCTAAAGCCTAAACCCGCCCTTCAAGGTTTGGTCATCACCGCCTGTGAGCGAGCGTCCTTCTGGGAAGGGGCCCTTGTGCTTCTGGAAGAGACCCTGGGGCAACCCCAAGAGGGAGTTGGTTTAGGGTTTGGGGTTTGGGGTTTACCGTTTAGGGTTGAGGGTTTAGGGTTTAGGGGGGAGGGGGGGGTCGGGGAGGGGGGGGGGGGGGGGGGGGGGGGGGGGGGGGGGGTTTAGGATTAAAAGGGTTTCGGGGTGTAGGTTTAGAGGGTTTTTGTGTTTTTGGTTGTTTCGGGTGGCTTTAGTGTTTGAGGGTAAACCCAAAACCTAAGCCTAAAAACACCAAAGCCCTCACACCTTAGACCGCTCAGTGAGAACTCCAACGACAACGCTTGGGATGTTCCCCCTTATACCTAACAGTCCTTCACAGGGAGTTCGATAGAGGGTACTAGAATCCCTATTCAGGATTGTAAACACTAGACTCTAAAACCCCAAAACCTAAACCCGAGTATATGGGGGCACATCCCAAGAGACCATCTCCCAAAACAAAGGGCTGGCGATGTGCGGCGTAGCAACCTCGTGGCCGTGAGCTCCGCCGTGAGCGCCTGCGGCAAAGCCGCCAAGTGGGAGGCGGGCGTGGCAGGTTCAGGGTTCTTCGGGGTTCTTAGGGGGTTTAGGGGGCTCAGGGTTCAGGGTTCAGGGTTCAAGTGCGCTTGTAGGGGGTTGGGGGGAGGGGGGGGGTGTTGGGTTCCTCTACAAACGTCATCAGCACCAAAAGTGTACCCTACTATCAGAATAAGGTCACTTGACTCACTGGCCGACTAAGTCTCCTTCTTGTTGGTAATCTAGTTCTTCCTCCAGCCTGTTCTACGTCATGCGACTGCTAGACAGCTCGGTTGGTATCCCTTAGCAGTGAACCCTAATCCCTAAACCTTAAACTCTGTGAGACTCAGCACTCCGCCTCTGCCCTGAGACAGGCTGCTTTGCTCTTGTTTCGAGATCTTCAGACGCTGCCTGGCGCTTCAACTCATCAAACTGACACGTGCCAGTTAGAATCTGAACCTCGAAACTGCAACCACATGTCCATGTTGCTTCAGCTGTCCGGTTCTCTAAATCATCGTGCCTGTCGAAAGTACCAAATTGTAAGGCCCTCACGATAGCAGTAAACCCCAAAGCCCTAGGCCCGAAGTCGGCTTAGCTTGGTGTAGGGTTTTGGCCTTTAGGGTCCAGTGTGTAGGGTCAAGGGTTTAAGGTTTGTGGTGAGGGTCTGGGGTTTTTAGAGTTTAGGGTCAGGGTTTAGAGTGTAAGGTCTAGGGGAATATTAGGCACCGGGACCCGCAGTAGGCCCTTGATCCCTTTCTTCTGCAGTTTCAGGCTCCCTTGAAACCACTTTTTACGCCATGGGCCCCTCGCTCTATTCCTGGTCCTAGGTTGATCTGGAGCATATAGTCGAAAATCGCAGTAGAACAAGAATAGTAGTTCACGCACTTTTAAATGTTAACAGCTCCCCAACCTTCATTGCCGACAAACGAACAGTAAGTTACGGCTTCTCAAAAAGAGAGAGAGAGAGAGAGAGAGAGAGAGCGAGAGCGAGAGAGAGAGAGAGAGAGGGAGGGCGAGGGAGAGAGAGCGGCAGAGAGAGGGGGAGAGAGAGACAGATAGGGAGAGAGAGGGAGAGAGAGAGAGAGAGAGAGGGACAGAGATGGAGAGAGACAGAGGCGAGAGAGAGAGAGAGAGGGGGAGGGCAAAAGAGACACAGAGAGCGACAGAAACAACGATAAACATCAACACACAAAAGCAGAGGAAGGCGCAAGGCAAAGCCAGAGAGACAGAGAGTGATCACACTGCTAGAACTCTCGAATGTATGTGTGCGCAGCCCTAAACCCTAAACCCTCAACCCTAAGCCCTAAACCCTAAACGCTAACCAGATGTGTCGCCTTGTGGAAGGCTTATGGAGTCCACCTGGGAAAAAGGACCGGGATGTTCCCCCTTACACTAACAGTCCTTAATTGGGATTGTAGATACTCCCCATAAAATGTACTGTGAGTATAAGGGGGAACATCCCAAGGTTAGGGCGCGAAAAGCCGAGGCTGAAGAAAACCCCGGATCTCGTGGCTTACGGAGCCGTGCTCAGCGCCTGCGAGAAGGGGGAGCGGTCCGAAGAGGTGCACGGGACAGCGGACGGCTTCAGGGGGTTTGGGGTTGAGGGTTTAGGGTTTGGGACAGGGCCAGTTTCAGATCCCTAAAGATAAGCAGTAAGTCGTGGAACACCAAACTAAAAAACCTTATGGATGTGGGGCTCCGCCATGCCACAATTAGAAGGACGCAGGCGCTTGAGGAGGAATTTTGCGTTTTGGGTTTAGGGTTCTATACCCCAACGGTTTCTAAACAATACTCTTCCTGCGGTTGCCCGAAAATTATGCCTGCAATGGTTCAAGGGTTTACAAGCTTTTAGGCTTCACGCAGTTCAGGCCTTGGTTCTTGTCACTTCTTAACCCACATAAAAAAGTCAACCCTGAAGTATCACTGTCAGTCTCTTTCCCTATGAGCCTTACACCCCAAAGCCCAAACCCCAAGCCCTAAGCCCTAAAGCTGTGAATGATCCCCGAACCACAGCACGTTATGGGGACCCCTTTGTGTCGGCTCCGCCGCACATCGGGGAAACCACTTTAGAATGCCGTGGCCTGTTCACCACATTGGCTCAAGTAACCCTTAGAGTGAAGGTCACCCATAGGTTAGAGGTAAGCGCAATAGCGTAACTGGAAACCGCCCGGGTGCACGAGACGGAGACTGAAGGCGAACGCCAGTGCAGAAAAACAAGTGCGAGACCATTTGGCTGGTGAGGAGCCAAAGCGTAGTGCAAGCAACTACCCGACCTCACGCAGGTTATCAGCCGTATAGCGGTTGCGATTCCTTGCGACTACTGTACGGGCTGAGCTATGGCACTGCCAACCTAGTCGTCGAGTGCCGACACAACCATGACTTTCGGTGATGGTGATGCTATTGCTGCACCTGCATTGGGCGAAAGCACAGGCTGCGCCGACACAGATGCAGTTACATCATCAGATGACGCTGTTGAGATGGTTGCGGTTACGAAGGCACCCGCTAGAACTAGAAGTGGGTTGAGCGTGTTACGTGAAGATGGAAACTCGAAGATGAGTCAAGTTTCACGCCTCAGATCCACTTCCAGACCATCATCGGAACGAACATCAAAGAGATCCAACACTCCAAGTACTCCACGACGAAGAAGAGGTACTTCTCCACGGATCTCTCCACGATCCTCGCCGGACGCCGGACGACCGGAAACGTCACCGCGAAGAGGGTTCGGTGGCCCTCTTTTGGGTACCGGCCTCCCCAGTTCGGAACCTCCGGCTGGCGGTAGGGGCGGGCTTGATTCGGGTCCCCCGGTCGAGTCTGCTAACCCTCTAGCGGAACGAATCCGGGAAGAAGGCGAAAGGCGGGAGATGGAAGAGGTCATTGCCATGTTGCGACTGAAGATTGAGGAGATGCAACAGGAAGACTATGGGGCATCACTCAGGATCGAGCAGCTAGAACGCGAACGTGATCAGAACGCGCAACTGGCAGCTCATATCCATCAACGCCACGAAGCTACACTCGCTGAACGTGAGCAAGTCGTTGGTGCCACGATCGCAACACTGGAGCAACATGCTGCCGACAATCATCACCAAGCGACGATGAATCAGGAGCAGTTGATGCACCAGCAACGCGAGATGGCGCAGTACATGGTCAACGTGGAAGAAGCGGCCCATGGTGAAGGAAACACGATAGCTCGAGAATACCAGCGACTTACCGAGGAGCTGAACATTCGAGCGCATGAAAATCTGAGAAGGCGAGCCGATCTACAACAAGCCGAAGTCATTGTGGCTCAGATGGAAGATCAACTGCGAACCTCCGAGTTTGCACGTGAAGCATCCGAAAGACAGAAAAGTGAGATGCGAGAATATGCTCATCATGAGAGCGTGGCATTACAGGATGAACGCGATCAAACCAGGCTCTTGAATGTGAACATTCATGGCGTCATCGTTCAGTACCACGAGGAAGAAGAAAGAGCGGCGACTTTGAGACAAGCTGTGCACGAAATGGAGCAGCGATGGGAAAGCCAACATGCTTCGTTGCCCAGCATTCATCAGGAGCTGCAAAGGGTACGAACGGAATGCCAATCTCAGGAAGACATCAATCGACGACTGACGTCAGAACTGGATGCTGCGAGACAAGTTCAAACGTACAACCGACCTACGTCAGCCGGAACGTCTGAGTGGGATAATGTTTCTTCTGTGCCTAGGGTAGGTGTGCATAATTCGCGTCCACAAAGCGTTCAATCCCGTTCGGGAATAACCCAAGCCTACAGCAGTCCTGAAGAAGTTGATCACGACGTACCAATGTCATCTACGACGGAGTCAAGGTTCAAGACATGGGTCCAGAACACCATTCCAGGGATGGGTTCGGCTTCGCCGGCTCATACCCAGGGTGGAAGTGCCTCGAAGGAGGGTTCGGGTCCCCCGGCTCTTCCCACGAGGCCATCGTTGTTCGGAGGACCACCTATTCCAGTGACAGAAAGCCGACCGACTTCTACAAGGACATCGCTGTTTGGTGGACCTCCTGTTACCGTTCCAGGAAACCCATCAGTTCCTAACACGGTTCCGGGAAGGGTGTTCACAACAGGTTTGCTGGACTTGCCTCCTGGCTTGGCTACCAGACCATACACCTCACAGTTGCTCGCTGATCCACCTAAGGCGTCCACGTCATATCAGTGTGAACGACAACCATCGCGTTCGCTACATGTAGGCGGGGTGACGCCTGGAATGGCTTCAGAAATTCCTCCAAATGCTCCCAATCATCCTCAAGATCCTCGTGCAACCGCGTCGACAGCTGTTCAGCAAGAAGCTTTACAAAGGCAAATGGATGAACTTCGGAAAGAAATGAGCAGAATGAGAGACACCGAAGCTCGTCTACGTCGCGAACGAGATCAATGGCGCATAATTGCCGAAGAACAGGAGCAAGAGAATGAGGGTGATGAGGAAGAGAATGGGGAGGAAGGCGAACCAGAAGAGGACGGAGACAAAACCGACCCTGGATCCTGGAAGCCAATCAAGAAAGGAGGTGGAGGAGGTGATGGTGGTGGCGATCCAGACTCTTCTCCCCACGGTGGTGGTGGAGGAGGTGGCGGTGGATCTGGACCCGAAGATGGACTTGATTACACCGAAGGGCCAAAGATATCCCGAAGAGAAGCCGACAAGATCAACATTCCTGCGTTTCCCAAGGTCACTCACTTGGACGCTTGGCAGGCAGCAGTCACCACAAACGTTCTGGCCGCGTGTGCAGATACCAACCAAAGCGACTGGATCAAATGGCTGCAAGAATCTTTCAAGCCCATGCCGGATGTTGAAGGGCTCAATGACTCGGGACACGTCAAGTTCAGAAGCATCGACGTGAAGCTGGCAAGTGCGATGACCCTCATGTTGCGGAATGCCGGAGATCAAGCAGCTGATCTGTTCTTAGAGGTGAACCTCAAATCAAACGCGTACATTCGCGGGAACGAATACAAGGTTCTAAAGGGACGACAGATCATTGCGATGATGATGGAAAGCTTTCGCACACGGGATCGACTTGACATGGTTTACACGATCGACTACCTGACCAAGTTGCAGTACCCAGGCGACAACAAGATTGCCGCATTCAAAGCAACGTGGCTAGAAATCATCTCTCGGATTCGACCTGAAGATGTACAATGTGATGCCCTTCAGTTATAACTTAGTAAGACCAGATACAAGTAAGTTGTATCTCAGTTAGGGAAGTTAGCCTCAAAAGTATACTAAAACAAACCTGACTTTGTTAGGCGACATAAGTGCAAAAATCGCGGCATTAATGAGAGAGATATATTGATCTGCATGTTTTGGATGTTTTTTACATAGATGTATAGTTGACACACAGTGTTTCGTATAGATACATAATATATACTTATCTTCTTCGGTATGCATCTTCTGGTGGATTGGGCTTCCCTTCCGGAAAAAATGGACACGTTCTTTTTGTGGATGCTTTTTCTGTATATTCTCTTGTGGTCCCCTGTGGTTTTCTTGTGGTCCGGGTAGGCCGTTTTTGCTTGTGGTACGGGTCGGTTTCGTGGGATGTCTCGAGGATTTGCTTGTGGTACGCTTGTTGTCCCCTTGTGATCCGCGTGTGGTCCGGTCGCCTCCCCTTGCAGCTGGCCCAAAAGGAAGTGTCGACCTTCGCTTTGCTCTGGGCACACATAGTCTATATAACTTGCTCGGTATTCAGCTCCAAACATACCAAAAGACCTCTATCATATTTCTTTACGTGACATGTTTCTAACAAAGACATGTGACATCCTGTAGTTTCCACGCTACTCCAGCTCTTTCTTAAAAAGTATATGAAACATAGCCCTCGACATCCATGTGACTGAAACCTTACAAAACACAACAGTTTTTAGTTATCCAAGTTAGCTAACTGGCATGACTTAGTTATAACTGATACCGTCCAGTTATCCAAGTTGCTCGATTTATAACTCTGACAACATATCTTATAAATGATGTTATAAGTTATGTTACACAAGATATAACATGCCCTGTAACTAGAGGGCATCACATTGTACCTTCCACGAATGCCCTCCGCGACATCTTGTACCAGAAGATATCAGGATCCTCTGAGATGAACATGGAGCTCAAGCTTTACTATGACATCAAGAGCTATGACGATCCAGAGAGATCACATGATATGCTTCTGAGGATCATGGACCGGGCGGTGCAGAGGAGAAGAGAGAAGAGGAACCTCAACGAGACACAACATGGTCTGAACCAGATGGTTGCTGGGAAGGACCTGCTTGCCGCACCAGCTAGGCCCGATCCCAAAGGGCCTCCCTCATCCACGCCAGACAAGGAAAAGAAGAAGAAGACGAATGAGAGAGGCAAGGACAAAGAAGCTGCGGATGCTGCGCCTGTACTCCCAAAGAGTAAAGCAAAGGCACTCGAAAAGGACAAGAAGAAGGGGAAAGGTAAAGGCAAAGAACAACGATCCCGATCTCCTTCATCATCACGATCGCTGACCGACAAGGAGAAGGCGAAGATTCGTTGCAAATTTCACTTCGGAGGAGGATGCAATGCAGGAAAGAATTGCAAGTGGAGTCACA